GAGGTTGTTAAAGGGGAACACCGTTTTTTTTCATTAAGCCCTTGATTTTACGTCATGTAAAAACAAAGCGGCGCGTATATGACGTCATCCGGCGCGCCGGTTACCGTTCATTCTTCCTGTCCGGTGAACTGCTGCTAGTTTTATTTACATGCCTGGAAGATGTCTAGTGCTGCTACCACAGATGATCTCGCTCTCCAAATGGAATTGAACGATTCAGATTAGCTAGAATGAATAGAAGGGGTAGAGCGTAGCCGCCTGGGGCCCGGGCTACAGGCAACGCTTTGTTTTTAAAAGATATAAATATTAAAAATATAACCGCAGATGTCTGGGGGACAGTGATTCGCGTACATGTTATGAATGCTGGTCTACCATAAAGAATAAATTATGAACAGTTTAGTTTGTGACTTCAAGTTGTTGCCCATAGGAAGACGTTACTTGGACATAACCTAACGGAATATCTTCAGAACAGCTCCAAAAGGCACAAAACTTATATAGGTGAGTAGAACATCATGTAATAACGTAAACTCAAGGGCCCAATGTAAAAAAAACGGTGTTCCCCTTTAAATAAATTTGAACCTTGTCTTGCAAGAGTTTCAGCTTCCTCCTCAACTTCCCACTAGTTATATTTAACGGCACACTGTAAACTTGGTGACCTTCAGAGTTGGCACCTATGAGTTATTTTAAATTATTTTTCAGGCCAAAATACAGTTCTTGACACTATCAATGCTAGAAGCAGAGCTTCCCTCTTCAAATACTGACTATGTAAGTTGTAAGGAGACGCACCATCATTGGCCAGGTCACGTGACCCAGAAGAAGGTATCGCCTTATGGGCGCAGGCTCTTATATCGTCATGGAGCTAAGGCTTGTGCTCTGCTATTTTTCCGCCTGCTCGACTACTGGTCATGGCCGAGGCAGGGAAAAAGTTTAAATCTTCTGAGCACGCTAAAAACATAAAACCTGAAAGGGATTGTGTGCGAGGAAAAACAAGAGTTGATCATGGGAAGGAGTTTGTTGGGTGTGTGTATTTTATTAATAGCCAAATCAACTAAGCTATAAAATGTGTATATACATAAATTCAGAGGTTCAGTTTTGTCTAATCTTTTTTTTTTTTATATTAGTTTCTTATGGGTTTTATTTTCAGCACCTTTTAAATAAATAAATGTTCTGTTTTGCGTGTATATTCAGTAGCTACCTGTGATTCTGGGAAGCTGGTCCAGAAACACTTAGAACTTCTTTGATGCCTTTTTCATAATGCTGTCTTTGCCCAATCAGTCAGCTGGGAGGGATGACAATGTCTTGGTAGCTATGCAGTCAGGTCAGACTATCTCAATTATCAAATGCCAGAATAAACACAGCTGAACTATTGTTTCATAAACTAACTCTGCTTTTAATTTCCCCACAACCTACATGGTCTCACCACAGAATAGCTAGATTCATTTAAATATAAATGTACATACTCTATTTTATGTTGCATTATCAGAGTGGGGGGAAATATATATAAAAAAATAAATAAATTATTTTTTAATGAAACTGGGACAAGAATGTAATTTATCTCCAAATACCAAGTCATGCATTAGCTATTATTGGTCTAGTAGTGCATTCAAATCTCAGAAAGATACATTCTGGTTTTATATAAAAAGGTAAAATGTCAAAATGTTCTATAAATATTCTAGTAAGGTGTACAGAAAAAAAAATGGCTGAGGGAATAACCAAAAAAGAGTGAGAAATTCCCACATTGACTAGAAGTGCTGAACACATTTGGAACCAAATAGGTTTTTAGAGGTAGGCAGCAGTGTTGTTAACCTGGGTAATTGTACACTGACCCAAGTAGAAATGAAACCAAACATATTCTGAACCCAAGAGCTTTTCATTCAAAGCCTTATAAAAGGAACATTTAAAAGGCTAGATCAACTGCATATTAACACCAAACCTCTTTTTTTTCCTGTTCAAACTGGGAAATGAGGTGGTTTTATCCTCAGTGGGTGAAACCCTTAATGGCCACTAAGCAAGCAGGGGTATGCTGCAACCATAGAAGGCTGTAGAGAGTTTAGAGAGATTTTAGATTAACAGTGTTAAACTACTTACAGCATTGAAAGTGGTTCGTAACTCTCAGACTTCTTACATTCAAAGATTGGCTGAGGGCCCAATGAGCCGCATTTGTTCGCAAATGTCTCTGCACAGATAGGTGTATGCAAAAATTTTTTTGACTGTTCGTGGTGTTTTACTATACAGCTTAGCAGGAGACAAGCTGTCATTGAACTGTTTATGAATGTGAAACTGAGCTGATGAGGATCCCCAGGCGAAAGCAGCCAGTCACCAGGACCCGTAGCTTTTCAGCAGATCTATCCACATCACTGACAGGTGTGGGATGAGAGAACTAAAACAACTAGTCTTTGCTTTTTGTTTTTCTAAAGCTAGAAGCCAAACTCCTACAATGATGTTTTGACATTAAGGGAAATGAGTGCATTTACCCCCTTACAGAAAAACCCCATAAACTTCCATAACATGTGGTACACATGTGATTCCCACTTTGGACGGGATTTGGACAAATTTATTAGTACTCCAGAAACCTGACAGCCCAGGGTGCAGACCAGGAAGCAGAGCCAAAGTTAAACACACCTCTCTGCAGCTTCTCTGTTGTTACCAACTCATTCACCCAAAAAGAAAAATAGTTAATTATGATAATCTTATTCTAATTACAATGACTCCAACTGAGAAAAAAATAAAACAATTATATGTTTTTTTGTTTATTGAACATCAGATCTATAGTTTACTAAAAAGAGCTTTTTAGCTAATGAATTCATCTGTCATAATCAAATTGATTTTTATGCTGTCTTATGGAAAACTGGCTGCAGCACGAATATTATGTGAGCATAAATGAAGCAACCCCCTCCAGCTATTTAAATTCCCACCTACCCAGAAGTTCTGGGCAAGGAGGAGGACTTAGAGGACTTAGCCCAAACTTTGTATTCACTTAGACTTAGACAAACTTTGTTGTCATTTTGTACACACAGAGTGTATACAAAACAGCATTTCTTTCAGTACAGCTCTCAAGACATTCCCATTTCTAAAGGGCAGCAGTGATAAAATGTAAACATGGTGATCAAATGTATACATAGGACTGGTATATGATTTACAGTTTTTCCTTCATTCAGCGCTCCCCCCATCGGATGCCTCGCAGCCTCCTTCTAGAGGGCAGCAGGGAGAACTGTCCATGGTGGGGGTGTGAGGGGTCATTTATAATGATACCATGTCCTGACTCAATTTGTAGAACAATTTCTGTAGTTCTCATATGATTTAGTATTCAATGATTTAGTATATAATTCTGCTTTATTTTATCTCGATTCTCCAAATCTACAGTATTTACTTAGCCCTGTTCATCTCCTCTGTGCTCTGGGTTCAGATTTTACCTTTAACTAATTCTCAGAGCTCTGGTTAACTGAGTCTTTCCTAGACAGTCCAACCTAACAAGCTAGTTTACTGTTGCTGTTTCTAGTGTACATTCACATAGAAAGTATTAATACACCAGTATTCTATGTTCCTTTTATATATCTGCTTCTCTATCCCTAAATCTTGACAGAAGGCTTCTCACTCTGAGCATAGTTCTAATGGAGCTTTCTTCATATTAAAAGGGACTTTTTCCTCCACTGCCACTGCATGCATGCTCGCGTGAGAGATTGGAGTAGATTCAATGATACAATACAGCTTATCCTAACTGGCTCTTTCTCTATCATTAACCCACCTTGTTATCTCCAGCACAGAGAACTTTTAATCCAGCTCAGAGATATTGACTTCTGTTTCTGTTTAAGTCAGACACACTTACATTACTATATACTAGATTCAGTGGAACTACCATTCAAATACAATCTCAGTCTTTATGTCACATAGCTGTCATGGATGGGGTTTATATCTTCTTAACTTGAATTTGGTAAATAGAATAACAGCTGAAATGACCTAAGTTCTGTGTAATAATCAGTCATTTCAAACCACAATGGAATCCATTAAACAGTGAAACTTGTCATTTTAAATTGAAGCTATTGAATCTGAAATTGCCACAGTTGGAAATGTACCAAGACATAACCGTCCACCTATTCAGGGCTTTATTAACACCCCCGAACCCTCCAAATGCCGGTGAATTTCATCTGCGGTGGGTAGTACAGCCACTCCTACCAGCCACTTTTTAATCCATTTAATTTTTATTAGTAGTTTTCTCAAATATCATCTGAAATAATAAGCAAATCTAAATGTGACTCTGCAATTTAAAACATTGTTAATCTAGTTTAAGTTAACTTCAGCATGCCAAAGACAGCTTTACTCATGTTTAACACAATTTTCTAACAATAAAATTGTGGCAAGTGAAAATACTGAGTGGCTAGTAAATTTGGACACACTTTAGCCACAGTGGCCAGAGAGCAAAAAAGAAAGAAATAAAGCCCTGCCCCTAATTGTGGTTAAAGGGAGTTAGATTGTCCTAAAATTGTGGTTAAAGGCAGGAAAAGAAACCAAAATATTGTATTTTTGGCTTATCGTGAATAATCATAAAAAAAAAAAAAATCATGTTTTCTATGTATAAAGAAACTTTTTGCTTTGAACTTTGTTTAAATCTTTTGTTTGTTATAGAAAGAAAAGCTTGAAATCTTTGAAAAAGAGAACATAAAGGCTTAAAAGGAAATTCCATATTTATGGAACACTAATGTGGAGAAGCTGCTATCAAACCACAGTCTGTGGCCATTAAGTTGTATTTCAATAAAGTCCGGGTGCATCCTGATTGAGAAAACAGCAAAATGCAAGAGAAGCAGAACATTCTGTTGCTTTTATCTAAACATATTTAAATAAGTACAGTATAAAGCATAGTTATGTTTATATAATTTGTGTTAAAGAGCCAATGTGGTGAGCCAAAATAGATCCGTGGCATCAGAAGGCAGGGTTGTGGAAAAACACAGTCAAAGATGTGTTTCTAAATGTAAAATAATTCAACATAGTAATCAAACCTGTCTTACCTCGGCATCTCCTTTGTTCTTGTACCAAATGAGCCGCAGCTTGGCATTGGTGGCCATGGTATAATTGGTTCGTATGTAGCTGTAGAACAAGGCACATTTGACCCGAACGGGCTCCCCGGCCAGGACGTGGTACTCCCTCAGATCCACCGACCAGTCTATGCATCCATCCACTGAGAAAAGCAAAAAGAACAGAGAGATGAGGCTGGGATTCCAAATATGAACAAATATATAAATCTAAACAACTTTCCGCTCTGAACGTTAAGGAATTGAATCCTTAGTGGAGATCAAAATCACTTTCATGAGTTGAAGAAAAATAGAGAAAATCAAAATGACTAATTATGAAAAACTATGAAAAATGAAGTCAATGAAAGGCAAAAACAAAAGACTAGTTGAAGGCAAGGAAGTGGTTTTGCTCTGAAAAACCTCAAAGTGACATCCACTCTCTTCAATCTTACATTTTCTCTTTCCTTCATCTTTTTTTTCCCCTCAATGTTAGGTAGGACAAACCATGCTTTATCCAGGGTTCCTACTAAGGATATGTATACTATCATGCAACTGATTGATATGAATAGAAAACACAGCTGATAGAAAGATAGAGGCAGTAGGCAGAGGAAAGGATTTAGCTTCTCAACCTATCATGAATAACGTTGCATTGATACCAGTATTGGGCGAGGCCCTGATCCAGCACTAAAATGGTGGTATCAATATCGGCGAGTACCAACAATAGGGCACCGATACCATTCTGAGAGCCAAAAGTTTGTTCAGCTATTGTCACCCATTCCAGGTAGGCAATAAAAAGTTCTACTGGATTCACTGTATTAGTCTTTTTCCTGCTTCACAAAGGTAGACAGCAGCTTGACAAAGCCATGAAGGCTATAATTTTACATCCAAGTAGTATGCACTTCTTCACATATAGACACACACACATACATTTCAAACAGATGGTATTGGTATGGAATAGGTATCGGTAATACTGCAAAGCCAGGTATCGGGTATCGTATTGGGACCAAAAAATGGCATCTGTGCAACACTAATTATGACCAACTTTAGTTGCTGGTGGGGCTTAAATGCTTTGTAAGGGTAAAGGTACAGTTTGAAGAGGGCTACAATTTAAATTTAGCTGATACAATATTTTCATACTATACCTAATTTTCAAACTTATGAAACATGTAATAGGTAAACACACTTTCACTGTTTCAGCCTCTTAGGATCTTGTGTGATTACCTGTTGAACTATAACCCTTACACAAATTTATCATGAGAATCGTTCCCCTGAATTAGACTGAAACTAAATCTGAGAGTAACAATTGTGTCTGCAAAGAAATGGATAATGTGATGTGAAAAAGGAAAAATCACGCAGAGTCTGATTTGTTGCATCCATTCATCTTTTTTATCTCCAGCATTTATTAGCTCTAGTGTATCTTAAAAATAAAAACTGATTTCACTGATTCCCTCAGAAAGCACTCACCAACTGACAGGCAGTAAGTCCAGTTATTTTAAAAGGTGGAGCACAACAGAGATAGGCCTCATCTTTTAGACCTGGACTGCTTGCATGTTGTATAAAGCTATAGGACCCTCAGCGCTGGTTTTCTCTACTATTTCCCTTCCCTCGTGTTAAAATCTATTTATTTTCACATGCAATTCTTATATTGTTTTAATTGGATTTACTGTAGGAATTAAAGGACTGGGTCAGAGTTTAAGTAATTTAAAGGTATAGAGGACAATCTTTTTTTCCAGGTGGGTCATCCAAATAAGTGGTCGTCCTAATTGTCAATCATTCTGGTGATATGTTTATGTAAGGCCATCCTACGTGCTCGTCCCCAGTTAGCTATCTTTTTCTGTGGATGCGCACTTTCAGGCACATATCTGTGGTGAGCTACGGTTTCAGACAGTCATTGAAGCTCACCTTTCGCACCCTGTTGAAAATGGCGGAGGATCATAGGAGAAAGAGTGTCTACAAAGTATATCCTGGTGTAGGTACCAGATCTGGTCGGGTCCTGCTTCATGCCAGTGATGTTACGCTACATGATTGGCTGAACTTTGCCACATGATGTTAAACGTTGTGGTTGCCCAGACAACGATAACAACATCAAATCCGTGTAAATCAGGACCATCTATAGTGTTGGCGTGTCTAATGAGTGATGACGTTTTTTTTACCTGATCTATAACAAAACTGAAAAAAAAAAAAAATATTTTTTATGGTGAATAAAGTAACTGCACGACCCTGGTATAAAGGGGGAGAGCTGGGTAGCGCTGTAGCTAGCTGTGCTAAGTAGCTAACAGGTTAGTCTCTTTTAGCAAACTCAGCTAGCCACATTAAGTTACACTACTTTTGAATTTGTGTCAACAACAACCGTTAGTTTTCTACAAGCAGAATAACTGTTTTATTTGTCTAAAATCTCTACGAAAGTCATTTTCAAGATGTTCCATGTGTCCTCCACTGCCCTCAGATCTTAATAAAAGAATAAAAATAAGCTGAGACTTTTTTTTGTCATCTTGTTAAATACTTTCCTTTGAGACTGACAATGATTGTTTTCTACTTTCGGCTACTTTAGATTGCCAATGAAATGTAAAATAATAGAAAATATAGTTAATAATATGTTGAGACTCCAAAAGAGATTTAATCCTTAAAAAACAGGTGCAATACAGTTTGTCCGAGTGGGGTTGCCATATTTGACATCATAAGAAGGGGCGGGCCCACGAGCAGATCTGGTACCTACACAGGAATGCTTTGCGTGGAGAGCTCTACTCGCAAAGCATTATGGGATTAGCTGTCACAGCAGCCCGCTGATGAAATAGGCTGTCGGGTAGCGACAGTCAATGGCGACCAATGACAATAAAAATAATCATGATTTCTATTTGTAAAGGAACTTTTTTCTTTAAACTTGATTCAAATCTTTTGTTTGTTATAGAAAGAAAAGCTTGAAATCTTTCAAAAAGAGAGCATAACGGTTTGAAAAGGAACTTCCATATTTATGGAACACTAATGAGGAGAAGCAACTGTCAAACCACAATCTGTGGCCATTAAGGTAAATGGTTTTTGAAATGTACTAAAATGGCATATTGATTATATTTTTATTGTATAAACCTTCTTTATGCTCTATGAACCTTCAGATGAGAGCAGATATATCTGCTTCCTGCAGTATTAGCAAATTTTCCCTCAGTGTCATTTCCTAAATGCTCTGTTAGATTTCCCCTCTAGGTCATCTCCAGGACCTCATCTATGGTAATGTAAACATGGTTTATCACTCTGTAAAATGTGTCATATCTAATCTGTGATGACTTAAGTCACTGTCAAAGATTTAAAGGCTTCATTTCCATTTGTTTACTGTTCAAATTTACAACCACACACTTAATTGGTAACATTTATAGATTTAGCAGTAGGCATTAACTCATAGCAGCGACAGGAGAGATTTAGCATCACTGCACACGTGCAGGCAGATTTATTGCACACAAACTCACTCCCCCACCCTCACAAATTAGTGCTCAGCCATGCTCTACACAAACTTCTGCACATAGGAATGATTTAATAAGTGACAGAGAGTCAGACATCACTTTTTCGAAACTTACTCTGCCTTTGTTCTGGCGGGATAATTAGTGTGTGGTTAGGATTTTGGATGTGTATGAAAGAGTTGCTGATCTGTAATCTACTTTTAGCATTAAACACACACGGCAACCTACAGGGGATGACCTCAGAGCATCGCATTAATAGAAAATCACATTAGTTTGGTCTACTACACTAATGCCTTTTGTTCCCGGACAATGCTCAGCACAGGTCAGGAATACTAGCACATACGCACATAAAGCAACATGGAGGCAAAAATAAAACATAACTGCTTTTCTTAACCAAAGCAAATTGCCAATAATTCATTTTTTCCTCTCCTTTACACCCATTCAAGCATGTGAGTTTGTCTGTACACGAGTGTAGAAGAGGGGAGTGCAGCTGGGCGTGTGTGTTTGTGTGTGCAGGCATATTAGAGATGTGGGCGAGGTGTTAGCATGAGCAGATATATCATTCCCGTCGGCTCTGTCTGCATATGAATGCTCCCTGAACGGCAGAATGGAAATAACTCTGGATTAATGGCAAAAAAACTTTTAGACGCTGGGGAGGCACAAGGAGTTTCTGGCTAAGGCACACACAGTTACATGTAGAGGAAGCAGAGTAACACACCCAAATGCACATTTATTACACAAATGTATGCTGCAACTTTTTAAACTTTTTATGTAAATTGGGTGATGATTAATATGCAAGTTAAATCTTTGGCCTAGTCCACACGAAGACCAACATCCTATCTTTTCATAGGTGGCTAAAAGAAAAATTGTACCACTAAAGTCACTGTAGTGCATTTCACTGGTCTTTGGGGGGGCGAATCACACTAACAACAAGAACATGGGCGTCAGCAGACAGCTCCCCCTGTTACTATCTGATCTGTACCGGAAGCACGATCGGTACCATCAGCTCATACATCCGGGTCGCCCTTGATTTTTCTTTGTAAAAAAAGACCTAAATTAAATTTTTTCATCCCCAAAAATAGTTTTATGGAGTATAAGGGCCAGGCTAAAGTTTTTATTTCTTCTATTTCAAGAATAAATTCGTAACATTACAAAAATAAAGTCGTGAAATTACGAGAATAGAGTCTCAACAAGAATAGTCATAAAATTGCAGAATAATTTCGTAAAATTACGAGAAATTACAGAATTATGTCGTAAAATTACGAGAATAGAGTCTCAACGAGAATAGTCATAAAAGTACGAGAATAATGTCGTAAAATTACGAGAATAGAGTCTCAACGAGAATAGTATAAAAGTACGAGAATAATGTAGTAAAATTACGAGAATAGAGTCTCAACGAGAATAGTCATAAAAGTACGAGAATAATGTCGTAAAATTACGAGAATAGAGTCTCAACGAGAATAGTATAAAAGTACGAGAATAATGTCGTAAAATTACGAGAATAGAGTCTCAACGAGAATAGTATAAAAGTACGAGAATAATGTCGTAAAATTACGAGAATAGAGTCTCCACGAGAATAGTCATAAAATTACAGAATAATGTCGTAAAATTACGAGAATAGAGTGTCAACGAGAATAGTCATAAAATTACAGAATAATGTCGTAAAATTACAAGAATAAAGTCGTAATATTAACAGAATAAAGTCCTAAAATTACAAG